CAAATCATTAAGTACAGTCCCCCAAAAGTATTTATTTGACCAAATATGTAATAAAAAAGCAATGTTTATAATGTTAATACTGTCAGATGGATGTTCATATATGGTCTTTCACTCTGAGGTTTTTCATTTTGTGTTGTTTTCATTAGCTCCATTATCTCCATTTATAATTTGTACAATTATGCTACTCTTATGGTTATCTTGTCTCATTACCAGTCTTGGTATTCCAACACTTTTGTGCCTGAATAATATTTATTTGCATATATCCACGTCGCATAAATATTACAATACATTTGTTTTTAATGTATAGAAAAGAAAGGCCGGGAGTGCACAACCACTTTCAGAAATACCTCAATCGTAAAATGAAGATGAGCAAAATCAACAAAAAATCCTCCTCCACAACAATGAAAGTACCAGTGGCCAGGCACGTGCCAGTATTATGGAATGAGCTTTGAGTCCTTAGTAGTTTGTCCTTCGCGTCGTCCCGATGACCTCAGCAGCCTAGATGGAAGCCGTATATATATAGCTCCTTCATCTTTCCCTAGCAGTATCTACACGCTCACCAAACCGACGGAATGAAGCTGGTGAATACCTATTGTCACTGTACATCCTAGACGGACTCTGTGGCTACATTCGATTTTTAGTCATAGTATATTGTAACAACACGTAGGCATTGCTTAGGGAGTGTCAGTTTTTATGGGGGTTTATGAGGCTTATTTTCTGCGGATGCTGTTTTTTGCGTTTCCGCTTACGTCAGTGTTATATTCACACATACTTACGTACATACATATATATGTGTGTGTGTGTGTGTGTACATAGATATGTATACATATATATGTGTATATATATATATATATATATATATATATAATATTTTATGAATATAATACTGTGTATATGTATATATATATATATATATATATATATATATATATATATATATATATATATATATATATATATAATATATATATATATTTATATATATATATATATATATATATATATATATATATATATATATATATATATATATATATATATATATATATATATATATATATATATATATATATATATGTATATATATGCATATATATATATATATATATATATATATATATATATATATATATATATATATATGCATATATATACATATATATATATATATATATATATATATATATATATATATATATATATATATATATGTATATATATATATATATATATATATATATATATATATATATATATATATATGTGTGTGTGTGTGTGTGTGTGTGTGTGTGTATGTGTGTGTGTGTATGTATACGTAATATATATATATATATATATATATATATATATATATATATATATATATATATATATGTCTATATATATATATATATATATATATATATATATATATATATATATATACATATATATATATGTATATGCGTGTGTGTGTGTGTGTGTGTGTGTATAAGCATACACATGCATTTGTGTAGTTTGTTTCCTTGACTGAAATTATAATATTTCTTCCGCATTTCTTGTTTCAGTTAACAATTGTAGAAACAAATACGAACCATAAGTAACAGTAGCTAAGGCAGTCACGTTTAGCATTTCCTGCAAGAGCATGCGCCTTGCCGCACAAGAAACGCAGCTCTCATTTCTTCTCCAGATCGTCCTCGCCTGCCTGGCCGCCGTGGCCCTCGCCGCCCCCCGCCCCGAGGACGACCCGGTCGCCATCCTTCGCGACGACCGCCAGGACGACGGCGACGGCAACTTCAAGTACGAGTTCGAGTCCGATGATGGCACCTTCGTGTCTGCCGTTGGCACTCCTGGCGCCGAAGGCCAGAGCAACATTCAGGGGTCCTACAGGTAGGCTGATGCCGCCGTTACTCGCTCTTCCTGAGCGTTTGAAGGCGTACAAAAAAGGCTTAAGCTTTATGTAAATCAAAGTATTTGCGTGTATGTGGATATTTTAATTCGTATCTATATACGCGTCTCTGCCTCTATTTATTCATACATATATATAGAAATATGCACGCAAACCTATACACACATATAGGCACACTGAAACTGCCAAAATAGTGATCATTTTGATTGTAAACAGCGTTTGCCCCTTTCAAATTCCCTTCCTTCGCCTTCGACCAGGTTCACCCTCCCCGACGGCACCATCGCCGAAGTCACCTACATCGCCAATGAGAACGGCTTCCAGCCCCAGTCCGACCTCCTCCCCACCCCCCACCCCCTCCCCGCCCACGCCATCGAGCAGATCCGATTTGCCGAGGAGCAGCGCGCGGTGCAACCGCCCGCACCGCAACCGCTCGCACCGCAACCGCCCGCAGCGAAACCGTTCCCAGCGTCCTCCTTCTAGATCCCCAATGCCAATCCTCCTTCTAGATCATCGGCGCGAACTGCAAATCACCGCAAGAAAGGAATTAATATTGTAAAAATGAAAAACTGTTTTCGCAGTTTTTATGCGGTTTTAATGAAATGTAATAATGTATTGTTTGTTCACATTTTCCCTAATGATTTGAGTAAACTATTTTAAATACGTAAAATGCATATGCACTGTGACTTGCATACGCAGACAGTATCGTTATTTCATATTTCAAACACAATGCGTGTGTGTGTGTGTGTGTGTGTGTGTGTGTGTGTGTGTGTGTGTGTGTGTGTGTGTGTGTGTGTGTGTGTGTGTGTGTGTGTGTATGTGTGTGTGTATGTGTGTGATCTATACATAGAGTGCAGTGCATGGCATCATTGTAGTACAGCTCTTACATGCTAATTTGGCTGATGTAAACAAGGACATTGTCATATTAAACAAGGATATTGCCATATTAAGTCGCAGAAAACGGAATCGAGCGAGACAAATGACTGTCAATATGTTCAAGGAAAGCAATTATTTTAGAGGGGCTAGCGACCCCATATTGGAACTAATGGCAATTGAGGTAGAAACGAAGGAATAAGTATAATAATAAGAGCCACAGTAAACATGCCACTTCATACATCGGTGTGACCACAAGAAAATTACACAAAAAAAATCTAAAAACTTAAGCAAAGCAAAGCAAAAGAAGTTCTTGTAACGGGGGATTTTAAAAGCAATATTGACCGGGATAGTTTCGATCCCAGAACGCAGCCAGATTCGAGAAATCCAAAATTACTGGAAGTCATAAATGAGCATTGCGTATATCCAAACTGTAACGAACCATAACAGGATAAGAAAATTAGACAAACCATTTACGCTTGACCTAACAGTAAGGCATACAGGTGATATAAAGAAAATGGAGTACTGTCTTCGTCTATGAATCAGTGACCATGCAGCAATAAAACTAATATATTCTCTACTATAGGAAATACTCATCATAAGTAAGGATAGAAAGGGAATGTACAACTACCTGAAAGGTTATTGCATAGTAGAATACCTTAAAGAATTCTTCCCCCACCAATCCCTTGCTAATGGGTGGCTTAGGAGACGGGGACACGGGCCTAATGTAGGGGATCACGCCTACCTTGGACTTGAGTCCTCGGCTCAACTAATTTTGCATGGCCTTTCCATCTCTCCTTTTCCTTTTCTTCTTCATCCCCTTCTTCTGTCCACCTATCCTAATTGTTAAGGCATTTTTACCCTTTTCGCCATAATACGTTCTGATTATGATATATGACCTTTGATGTCTAGCAAATCTGTTTGTTTTAACCATGAACTATTCTGGGAATCCACAAACATCGCCTTATCCACTAACAAATTTTCTTACCCGGGGACATCACCCCCAAGCCCCTCCTTATCGCTACGTCTGAATTCGCTTCTAATGATCTTAGATGACGTGCCTGATTTTTTTTTTTTTTTTTTTTTTTTGTAAATTAATAACAAAGAATTCTTTGATGACATAAACGGGGAAACAATCCTAGACAAAGAGACCATTGCTGCACAATATTCAAAATTTTGCTAAAGCTATTTGAAAGGAGTAGACAAAATTGTATTCAAGTAAAGATTTAAAGTGTTTCAACCATGAGTGTAGAAAATTGAGAGAGAGCAGGCAGTCCCTTTGGAAAAGATTCAGAAATATATCTCAAGCAGCGTATGAAAAATATAAAGTAGGGAGAAAGGAATACACCCCAACCATGTGAGGGGGAATGTAGACTTCGAAATGGATAAAAACAAATCTGCAAATCAACCAAAGCTCTTTTCAAACTACATAAATCTTATCACGTTTTTATCACCATTATCCTTATCATCAAATATGATTCTATTATTTTTGTCGTTATTTTTTATTATTATTGCCATATTATTATTATGATTATGATTATTATCATTATCATTGACATTATTATTTCTGTTACTATTGTTAACATCAATCAACATCACCATTATCATCATTATCAAGAGTATTATCATCATTATCAATGTTATCTTCATTTTCATCTTCATTATTACCATTAATACTATTATACGATTATCATCATCACCATTATTATTAGCATTGTCATTATCATTATCATAATTAACATTATTAACATAATTATAATTATTGTTATTATCATTGTCATTATTATCATTACTATAATCTTTATCATAAATGTTAGTAATTGATCAGTATCATTATTTATCCTATATCATTTTTAATATTACTGTTAGCAAGCATTATCATTGTATCCTTTTTATTGTTTCTATTATTATTATTGTTGTTGTTTTTTATCGTTATTATTGTTATTATTATTGTTATTTTTGTCATCATAATATTCAACATTATTAATGTTATTGTTGTTATTTCTATTATTGTTATCAACATTATTGTTGTTACTTTTATTATTATTATCAACATTATTGTTATCATTATTATTATTGTTGGTCGTTGATGTTATTATTAGTATTATCATTATAACCATTATCATCATTATTGTTATCATTATTATCATTATCATTATCATTATCATTATCATTATCACTATTATCCTTATCATTGAAATGTTAATAATGGCAATTGTAATAAGATTTAAAATGATACCAAAATTAAACAACTAAATAAACTAATAAACAAACAGATGCAAAATATGAATGACATAAACGATACTAATGTAACGGATATTTGAATGCGACAAGGAGAAAAATTCACAAAGGTCAGGTTCTTGGAAGACACCGTGGGGTGCCTTCACTTAAAAAAAGAATTACCGTCAACTTCTTGGTGGCACAAGAGAAAGGACGAACAAAAAATGAATATTTGATGAAATATGAATAATGTTTCATGATCAATTAATATCGTAAACACTCGTTGATATTATGTGCTGATGGTTTCATTTTCTTATTCATGTTGCTGGGTTTTTATATTCTTTATTATAATCTTTTTTTGTGCGTTGAAGTTCTTTCTATTTATAGATACTTATAATTTCTGTTATTATTCACATTTTTTGTTAGTTTAGTGAAAAGTCTGCAGCTTCCTCCCTACATTTTATCTCGTATCTATTCACGCTTTGAAATCTTAATACTGATTGTTCAGAAATCCACGAAATGCATACTCCTAAATAGGTAAGTGAAAAGATAAACAAATGGATAAGCTAATGAATGAGTGAATAATAGAACCAAAATAGAACCTATTAGACAGTACGCACTTCCAGAATTTCGTAACTAAATTATATGAATTGTAGTACTGTGTAAGTAATTAATACTTTACGCATCTTCGGCCCATGGGATGTGCTTTCAGGTCTAGCACTTAGACTTTCGCATCCTGACGTACCAGTGACCTATTAAAAACATGTATATAAACAGATCTTTTTTCCTTTAGTAGTATCAACACACTCGCCGAACTGACCCAATGAAACTGGTGAATACCTCTTTTTTTTCTCATTTAATCTCATTTTGTGTTTTGTAGCTAGATGCAGGGCAGTATTGTTACGGAAAATGGCATCTTAACCATGATCATTCTAATCACTGCAAAACGCAGCTTAATTGAACTGAGTGAACTGAGAAACGTCTCTTTATAGATACTTAATTTTTACTATGAAGGATTTGTGAGCATCAATCATATTTATTGCAGTAGTTGTAACTGTGATAGTAGTATAGGTATAGCTATAAAGGTGGGATTTTATTAATAATAATGAAAAATGATAATGAGAGTAATAGATCTGCTCAAAGCAACGCCCGCAATACTGACTGACTGCCAACACAAAATCACACCGTTGGTTCTCTTCTAACTCGTCCTCGCCTGCCTGGCCGCCGGGCCCTCGCCGCCTCCCGCCCCGAGGACGACCCGGTCGCCATCCTTCGCGACGACCGCCAGGACGACGGCGACGGCAACTTCAAGTACGAGTTCGAGTCCGACGATGGCACCTTCGTGTCTGCCGTTGGCGCCGAAGGCCAGAACAACATTCAGGGGTCCTACAGGTAGGCTCGTTCTTCTTGATGTGATAAGTCATTTCACTGATGCAGAGACGTAGGTGTAAGCGTATGTGTACAGTAAGTGTGCACACACACATGCGCGCGCGCGTACAGACGTTTAAGCAAGCGTTTGTTCCCTTTCAAATTCCTTTTTCCTCAGTTGCATTCGACCAGGTTCACCCTCCCCGACGGCACCATCGCCGAAGTCACCTACATCGCCAACGAGAACGGCTTCCAGCCCCAGTCCGACCTCCTCCCCTCCAAGCCTCAAGCTTTTAATAAAGTGAAAAGTGGAAATCGTTTCACGGTTTTTTTCGTATTTAACATACGAGTGCATTTTTTTAATGAAAGAAAGCTGTTAGTTGCAACGATTCTTTCATAATTCGACAGCACATGATATGATTCTTTAAACTGCGTCCAGTCTCAGGAAAGAAAAAACAACTGGTAACTCACCCCGGGTTTGGAGTATTTCGATTCGTAAAAAAAAAAAAAAAAAAAAAAAAAAAAAAAAAAAAAATAGAGCAGTTTTAAATTCAGAATGTTTCAGTCAGAACAATTTACTGATTTACGAGTTACAATCTAATCTAAGGTAAGATAAATCGATAAATCAGAGAACGTACCCAAAAGAACAGCAAAAATTGTGATGCAATATTGTCAAAACATTTAATAATTTCGCTTTCTTCACATAGCTTATGCTTTTTCATTTAAAAGCAAAATATTTCCACTAAAACATACAAGACCTCATGTAGTCTTAAAGCAGGTGATCTTTAGGAGTTGTAATTCACTCTATGATGCACAGAAAAATATATACGAAGTATTATAATCATCTATTTTACAACGTTAGGGGATATAATTCATTATCAAAAACATGATGAATCAGTGAAGTTTTCGCAAGGAGGTAACTCACCGTCTCACCGTTTCATATAGTTTAAATTCTAAGATCAGTTTAATGCAAAAGCTTAGGAGCTATAATTCACCACACGATAAGGTAGTTTAACTGGTACTAAAATGCATAAAAAAGGCGCTATGTGTTGTGTTATAAATCTAACACAAAAGTAAAACAAGTATTACGTAACACCTAACACAGCATATGGCACATATGTTGTGTTGGGTGTTACGTAATACGTGTTTTACTT